CGCCGGGGCCACCCAGGGCTCGGGGGGCCTCTGCACCTTTGGCAGAGCTCCCGCCTGCAGCCCTTGTGTCCTGCCCCGCTCCTCCAGGAGGATCTGGGACACCTGCGGGCCCTGCTAAAGCCTCACCCCACAGCCATGGAGCCCTTTGGGTGCTTCAGCATTGAACCTTCTGTCTTTTCTCCTCTCCTTCCCCCTGACTCCTACCACGTTCCTTTGTCAATGAGAGCCTCCCTGCCCTTGCAATAAAATAATCTTGCATCCAACATCTGCCTCTCTGTTTTCCTGTTGTTACTCGGAATGGGGGGCACAGTTTCCTTGACCTGCACATGGCCCTGACCCGACTGGCTTGGGCAGTGTCTCCTCCCCATCAGAGCCAGGCAGAGCTACCTTTGCAAAAGCCCCCCAGTCCTGGCAGCTCTCAGCCCATAAGGCCCTGTAGCTGAGCTCCACGGACTCTTCCTGGAGCCTGGCAGCTCCTCCCTCTGCAGTATTTGGAGCCCATGGGCTTCTGAAGACCTCCAGTGCTACTGGGTAACAGTGTGGCTGGCCCTGGCCCTGGGGACATGCCAGGGGTTTGCCTGGGCTGCCGGAGCTCCAACCCATTTGATGCTCCACAGCTCTGCTAAAGGTCTTTGGAGTGATGGCAAAGAAGAGGACCTTCCTTATCTCTATGCCCCTTACCTGAAATTTGCTTATCAACAGAACCTTCTCTTTCTCTTTCCCCACATCCTTCTCTCTCTCCTATTGCTTTTCCTTCTACTTTTCCCAGTCTTAATCCCCCCCCATTCCTCTCCTTCTTCTACTTCCATTACATCTTTGCTATCATTTTCTCTTACCCATGAGCCTTCACTGTCCTGTTCTCTCTTCTATTTTACCTTCCCTTACCCTTCCCAATTCCCCTTTAGGTATTCCGCTGCCCCCAGCACACACAGCACCCTCGGGGCCCCTCAGCTCTGTCACAGACACACAGTGATACAAATCCCAGCTGGATCCTTGTTCCCACAGCCTTTCCAGGCCATCTTGGCCTCCTGCTGTCTCCTCCAGCAGGGTCACCCAGAGCCTTATGCCCAGCACTGTGTCCAGGTGGCTTTGCCAGGTCTCCAAGGACAGACACTCCAGCACCTGCCAGGCCAGCCTGTGCCAGGCCTCGCTGCCCCTCCCTCCCTCTGACAAAGGGCTTTGGGGCTGCATTTCAGCTGGTGCCCATTGCCTCTGCTGCTGGCCCTGACCCCTGTGCACAGAGCCTGCTTCCATCTTCCTCACACATTCCTTCTCTGCTGTGTGCATGGGGATGGGATCCCCCTGAGCCTCCTCTGGAATAGGGGGAACATTCAAGGCACTCTTGGGCTCTCCCAGGAGCAGAAATAGTCCCTGTCCCTTCAGCATCTGTCTATGGCCCTTTGTGAGAGAGTCTCCAGTGCCCCACATGTGTCCTGTCCTCTTCTCACCACTGCAACTCCTCACTGTCACCTGGACATCCCAGGAACAGCATTTGCCGTCCCACACTTGGCAGTCCCCCACACGCAGGGTCTTCCCAACCAGGAACAAATAGGGATGGAGACATGACTTGGATGCAGGACAAGTTTATTGTGCAGAGAGGAGCATGAGAGACTGTGAGAGAGATGGTGGGCGAGACCCAGGCAGGTCAGTTGTCACGTGCTGGAGAATCCAAGGGATGTTGCCCAGAGCAGCACTGGTGGAGTGGGGACAGCAGTGGCAGTGGGGTGTGGGCTGGGTCTAGCAGGGCCCGCAGGTGTCCCAGATCCTCCTGGAGGAGCGGGGCAGGACACAAGGGCTGCAGGCGGGAGCTCTGCCAAAGGTGCAGAGGCCCCCCGAGCCCTGGGTGGCCCCGGCGCCGTAGAGACCCCCCAGCCCCAGGGAGCCCCCAAAGGCGGGGGCTCCGGCGGAGCCCACCACGGCTTGCTGGGGGAAGGAGCTGAGGATGGGGCCGGGGAAGGTGACCACCACGGGGGGCGGCTGGATGAAGGCCGTGGAGTCGGGGCACTGGCGGGCGCACAGCTCGTTGCAGCTCTCAGCGATGGGCTGGGGCACAGCCACGCTGG